CTTTCTCTCTTTCCCCCCACCTCCCGTCCATCCCGTCCATCCTCGCTCCTCTTTCCTTCTTACGCCTTTCTTTCTTGCTTTCCACCACCACCGCGCTTCCCCCAATTGTTGTCCCGTAATTGTTATCCGTTTTGCGGTTACCGAAGAACCGCTTAAGTCATTGTCTGCGATAACAGCCCTACTTTGCAATGATAATCACGCTCGTGGAATACGATTATTCCGAAGCCGAGTTTGCGTCATTACGGTATCTAGAATAGGCGAATTTTGAAGGGTAAATACAAAAGTTGTAAATGTAAGGCATAAACCGTTTTTCTTTTTTTTTTTTTTCTTTTTTTTTTTCTCGTACTGCTACTACTATTACTACTACTCATCTTAATTTTCCACGTTTTAAAGGATCTTTAATTGTCTTTCGTCTTCGCGAATCTTGCGGATCTTAAATTTTTCCTTTATCTCCTTTCCTTCGAAAGAAATACACGATGAAAGATAGGTTTAACGAAATGTAGATATATATTTTTGAAGTTAGGTATAATAATATTTATAAATATTCGTACAATCGTATTTTCGTTATTTTACACAAACGCTGGTTCGCAATCATGATATTAGATTAGATAGAAGAAGAAGAAGAAGAAAAAAATGGAACGGTGTTAAGATCAAAATCTTTCAAGACGAGAAATAGATCAGAATTTCACGCAGTAGTATAAATATGCGCGTAGAGAAAAAGTGCACGTGAATACAAATCGAAAAGAAAATGACATTACAATATAATTACAAAATAATAATAGATTGTGCTAATAAATTATACGTCACTCGAGTTGCTAATTAATCGTGTTAAATGTTGTTTCGTAATTAATTTAAGGATTTGTGCATACACATTTGTACCTCTTACTAAGCATAAATTCTTCTTCGTTCCTCAATTCTAACTAAATCAGCAGAATAATAGAGGTGAAAGTATTAAAAAGAAAAAAAAAATGAAGAAAAAGAGGGAGAAAAAGAAAGAAAGAAAGAAAGAAAGAAAGAAAGAAAGAAAGAAAGAAAGAAAGAAAAGAAAAAGAAATATACTAAAAGTGAAGGAAAAAAGTGAAGAAAGATTCAGCGTACTTTTATGTCCTTTTTTTACCTTGCTTAACTTCCACAACTTCTCCTCTCTCTCTCTCTCTCTCTCTCTCTCTCTCCCTTTCTCTCATTTTTCCTTCCGCGCATCTAGCTTGGTCTATCTTTTTTTTTTTTTCTTTCTTTTACACATTTTTTGCACAATTTTTCGAATATCCTCGTGTAAAAATATCTTTTGAAACAAGGGAAAAGTAGACGAGCATGCATATCGAAGCCAATATGTGTACATTGTATTATAAAACGTTACGACACAGAAAATTACTTTCAACGAAATTCGACGTCGCTAAATACGTACTTACATACATACGTATATGTACTACATTCTATCGTATGCACACGTTACATGTATATACGTATATATAGTTATATATGCAAAGGCTGAAAAAAAGGGATTCATGGCTTTAGAAACGCATAGCATGTTATCGACAAAAATTAATGCAATTGATGCAACGTTTCAAAAATTCATCTTTCTCTCTTTCTCTTTCTCTATATATTCTCTATATATATATACATTTTATCATTGTAAATCGACGATATTTTTGTCGATACTTTTTTTTTCAATGAATACTACGCGTTCGTAAAGGCTTGTATCTTTCCTTCAATGCCCTTTCAATAAGAAGACGACCAAGACAAGACTACCAATCCGAATACAGTACTTCTAGTCAAAATGATAAAACAGCAGTTCGCTCGCTCGTTTGACTCGAGTTAAAGTAAGAGTAAGGGGCGGCGTTTCGTAAAAAATTTTCGAAACGGGTTTTTCCTCTTTGCAAATCTTGAAAACTTGGAAAATGAATTCGATAAAGAATCGAATGATATCCGATACGCGATGTAAAAGAACAAATATATATAAATATATATATATATTTTTCTTTATAAAGTGTCGATGTGTCGATGATCGGACAGCAAGAGAGAAAAAAAAAAGAAGTAACAAGGACGAAAGAGAGAACAGCTGTATGTACACGGAGAAAAATAGTAGCGATAGAATATTATTACTTGAAATGAAACGGGCAACGATTTTGGCCCATGCCAAGTGATCGGCATCGACTCGGTTTGCCTTTACTTCCGGTTGGTTTATCGTTATATATTGTATATATCTATGCAAGGCTGCAACAACAGGTAGCGGATTTTTAGCTGATATTTTTCTCCACGCAAGAAAACGTATAAATATAACGTATAAAGTACGAAGAGAGTGAAAAAATGGAAAGTTAAGAGAATGTT